GCCTCTCTTCACTTCCACCTACACCTTCCCTTCTTTGTCTCTATCCTGCTCAAATTGAGATTTATTATGTTAACAGGATTTTGTTTTGACATGAAGCGTTGTCAGGTCCTAGGCCATCCCAATGTCTTCACAACTTACCACAGTTGCTTTAAACTTACCAGCAAACTCGAGTCTATACAAACCCCTTTGTTTTGGCTGTTCTGAAGTTGAACCGATAATGGTTTTCACTGAAAACCTGAGGCTTTCCTATTCTTTAGGACATCAGCTATCCCACTGTCTTTCTTCCACTGCCTTCTATATAGTCAGTAGTATACAGTGAAGAGCACTCAGTCTTACAGCTGCTTTTAAGTTCATCACCACCTGATATTTTGGGGTTGTGGGGTATCAGTCACCAAGGTTTATTCTAGATGCTGTGGATCTGCTTTAATTATTCTAGTTGCTGTATTTATGGAGGGACTTGGAGAGATTAAAATATGACACAGCTATTTGTAGTCTCCTTTTTAACACACTTCTGGTAGTTAGTATTTTTATTATTTAGGGATACTATATTTGTTTGCTTTTTTAAATCTTTCTGAGACAGGGTCTCGACATGCAGTGCAGGCTGGCTTTGAGCTCACTTTGTAGCCCAGGCTGGTCTTGAACTTGCAACGAACCTCCTGCCTCAGCCTCCTGAGTGCTGGGATTATAGGCGTGCTCCACCACACCTGGCTTGGGATACTATATATGTGACAATGGTTTATGAGGTGAATGAAAAGATGCACTTTGGAGTAAGACTCCCCCCAGCCCCTAGGGCTGGGAATCAAACCCTGGGCCTTTTTTTTTTTTGGTCTTTTTGAGACCTAGGGTCTCGCTCTGCAGTTCAGGCTGGCCTCAAACTCGCTTTGTAGCCCAGACTGCTCTCAAACTCACAGTGATCCTCCTGCCTCAGCCTCCCAAGTGCTGGGATTATAGGTGCGCACCACCATGCCCAGCTAACCCTGGGCCTTATGTACAGTAAATGTTACGGTGTCTCTGGGTGTCTCCTCAAAGCCTCATGCAGTTATGGGGGATGGGCTTTTTGGAGGCAGCTGAATCTAGTTTGTAATTAGTTCACTGTCTAGTGCTGGGATTCGGGGGTGTAACTGCTACACCCATCCTAGGGCAGGCAGCTGGCATGCAATTTAAGGGAGGAAAAAAGGCTTCTTCCTCCCTTTTTGGCTCTGCTTTTGTTGTCTTCTACCATGAACACTGCCCCTCTGCCTTGCAGCCAGGTCCAGCTGATTATGGACCTCTACAAACAACAAAGAACTAAGACAGTAAGCAAGCTCTCTTAACACTGAGCTACAACCCCACCCGACTACCTGTTTTTAAATCCTACTTTCACCTTTTAACAGCTGTATGATTCATGTTTCTTAGTTTCTTCTGTAAATTTTTTGTGAACACTAAATAAACACATGTAAGTACAGAGAAAAGTACTAGGTTACTTAGTACATACTCAAAAAACACACCTGTTACACTTAATATAGTTTTCTTTTTCAAGACTAAGTCTATATGGACTTAAACAAATATATCACTCATTCTATGAAAAGCCCAAGATCACAAAAAAATGACTAAAAACTAAATAAATAAACCCAAATTGGTAGCTGGGTGTGGTGGCACATGCCTGTAATCCCAGCACTTAGCAGGCTGAGGCAGGAGAACGGTTGAGTTGCTGGCCAGCCTGGGCTACCTAGTGACTTCAAGGTCAGCCTGAACTACAGAGTGAGACCCTGTCTCAAAAAATAAAACAAAACCCATAAAAAACAAATTGGTAGACAAAGCTGACTTCTAAGTTCATAGTCTTCAGCACATTAATTCCAAACGAATGAAAAATATATTCAATAAGCAGTCAATACTACAGCTTGTCTTTTGTTTCTGAAAGTAGAAATCAATGTAATAGAAGAAAAAGGCAGAATATCACCAAATAATGGCAACAAGGTGGACAATCGAGACATAAATTGGGAGGAATGGAAAAAAACGATACACCTGAGGTCGAAAGTGGAAGGTGCATACAGCTTTGACCTCCGCATCTACTTCTTTAGCACATTTACTTCTACAGCTTTGACCTCCACATCTACTTCTAATGGATCTTTCTAGTGGGTATGCTAAGGATGGGCGATTGGGTGAGGCCAGCTTGAGCTGCATAGCAAAACCCTATTACAAAAAGACAAAACCACCAACCTAACCAAAAAAACCCAGAATGTATATTAAATATAAAATTATATAATAATTTATAATAAATAATAATAATGATAATAATTGCTGCCTCTGGAGAAAACAAAAAAGTTATCAGTAAAACATTTACAAGAAGGTTCAACTCCATCTATGATCTAAAAGGATTAGATGTTACTTATGATCTTTGTATTTTTTTTTTTGGTACCAAGAATTGAACTCACATTGTCGCGCTTGCCAGGCAGGTGCTTGCACTGCTGAGCTACATCCCCAGCCCTGATCTTTATATTCTTATATATATTAAATTTCTACATTTTAAATTTTATGTATGATTTTATCATTTTTGGTCTTTTTGAGATAGGGTCTTGCTTGCAGTTCAGGCTGGCCTTGAGCTCACTTTGTAGCCCAGGCTGGTGTCAAACTTGCAATGATCCTCCTGTCTCAGCCTCCCAAGTACTGGGATTACAGGCGTGCGCCACCATACCCAGATAGGAAATCCTCTTCGTAGAAAAATTACAAAAATTGATGAACTGCTAGAGAAAGGTGCCAGAAAAATATTCCTCAGAAATATAAAAGATCTCAGACTCCATTATTTGTAACACTGCATTCCTTTGTTTTTTTTTTTTTTTTTTTTTTTTTTCCGGTACCGGGAACCG